TACAGCAATTCCAGGGGCACCAACTGGTCCTTGGAGACCTGGGGGTCCAGGAGGACCCTGCAGTGAGATAAAAATCAGTAATTTTGAAACTGAAGCCAAAAGAGCCCTGGCTATATAAAGCAGAACATTTGTCTGATCAAGATCTATTAAACATCTCTATGCTCATTGGGAAAAAAAAAGAAGCATGACTTACAAGTCTTTTGCATTTAGTGCAGTCAATTGTTTATTTTACTCCTTGAGACTCAGACTTTCATGTTTGGAATTAACTTTCAATTGACATTTACTGAAAGCACTATCATCTGTAATGTTGTGGATATTTAAAAATAGAATAATAACATAAATCAAGTTGAAGAATCGGATTTGAAAATTTTCAAAATACCAGATTTCTTTAATGACATATGTATGAGTTGAATAGTGCACACAAAAACTTTGTCCATATATTGTTTTCTAAATGAACATTAAGATTTTGATGGTTCTATACAGGTAGAATATGGTCATATATGAAAATTTACAATTTTCATCATATGTACACACACACAAACTCAGTGTTATATATAAATTATACCAGAACCCCTTATTTTGAGCAATAGATTTCAAACTATTCAACTATAAAAGATTCAGGCACTAAAGAAATAAAAATCATTGGATTCAATTGTTCTTTATTCATAACTGCTCTGTGGAGAAGATTGAAAAAGCAAAGTTTCTGAAAATGTGGTCTACGGACCCCCCTTTCAGGTTTCTGCTAGATCAAAATTCTTCTTGCAACACTAAAGTATTCTTTGTCTAAAGTATTCTTTGTCTATTATACCATACAGACATCTGCACTGATGATGCGAAAGCAGTGGTGGATAAAATTGCCAGTGGTTTAGCACCAGTGATGTCAGAAGCTACAAACTGTAATAGCATTTGTTGTATTTTCATCACCATGCACTCTCAGTCCACACAAAAATGGAGATTTCACTTAAGAAAGTCCTTTATGAAGCATTGAAAGTCATTAATTTTAATAAATATTGACCTTGAGTACACGTCTTTTGATGTTCATGTGACAAAATGGAAAGCACACATAAAGTACTTTCTTTTCATATTGAAATACAATGCCTGTCTCAAAAAATAAAACCACTTGGACTAAGTTTAAGTTGCAAGGTGCAAGCTGCAAGCAACTTTTACATGGAATGCTATTTTTACTTGAAAGAATGATTGACAGAATATCTGTGATTATTTAGGCTTGGGAATTTGGCTGACATGTTATTGAAAATAAAGGAATCCTGTTACTTCAAAGAAAACAACTAACAATATTTATTGTCAATGATAAAATTTCAACTTTCAAGCAAAAAGTAGAACTTAAAAAGTCTTGTGTCTGCAATTATGGCACTGTGGGCTTCACAGCTTTCCAATCTGAAAATTTTCTTATGACATTCATATTGCATAAAGAAATGTGTTAATAATTTGTAGACCTTACCCAGTCAACCAATAATTTCCAAATGACTAATAAAGATATTACAAAATTATGTATTAGGAAAACGGTTATTCAAAGTGCAAGACAGAACAATGGAATTTAACATAATAGCACAGAAAGCACACTGTTTTGGTTTCAGATTCCGTATTGCAAATGACCTTTAAGAAAAACTATTTATCAAATTTTGACGTAGAATCAAAATATATTCAAAATTATCTGAAAAGGTGAACGTGGATTTTCTACATGTCTT